CCCTGACACGGTCCAGAACCCCTCCAGATGCCAGAGGGAATGCTGACAGCAGCCACACGGTAGATACTGCTCACCATGCCCCCCTGGCAACAGCCAAAGGCAGGGAAAGCCCTGCTCTGGAAACCTCAGCCTGGGATTTGGAGGAACAGAAGGATGTGGTGGGAGCCCTGGTGCTCCTGGGAGAGGACGGCTCGTGTCAGGCACGGCGCGGGGTGATGGCATCGTGGGTGCCAGGCCACAGTGGGGTGCTCTGGGTGCTCCCTGCTCCCCACAAGCACTTGGTGTGGTGAACCTCCTGCTGCCTGCTCACAGGGTGCCTGAGGGTGCCTTTGGCAGTGCTCCTGCACCCAGGGCTGCTCTGGGATCTGGCAGGTCCCTTGCAGGCACCCTGGGGTCCTGATGGGTTGGGCCTGGAGAAGTAACGACCTTGTGAGAGCAGTCTGCTAATTAGTCCTTAGTTATTGCATCATCAGGCTGTGCTTTCCAAGAAAGTTTTAGACTGGAGCCAAATCCACGATGATGAGTTTGCAGTTCCTCTTTTGCAGGGCTGATCAGACAGGTGTGGGAAAGGTGGTGGTTTGAATCTGGGTTGGGTTAAAGTTGATGTTGACAGTGAAAGCTGTGGGTGTTTGCAAGATCTTTGAATTGTTTTGAAGACCTATTAGCAACTACCTGAAGTCAGGGACCTGCTTCTCAGACCTTGGTGGAGATACCTGCACAAGGTGTGTGTGCTTTGCCTCCAGTATTCCCTGGATGGAGTAGAGGTGGGAGCCCCCAGCAGGGTGCTGGGACCCCAAGGTCACCGTGAGATGGTCTCTGCAGGTTGTGCTGCTGGACGAAGGCAGCTTGGGTGCCATTAATGGATAAACCCGCTCAGTGTCAGTGGTGGGATGGGTGCCCTGACCTGTGCTGCACAGCGGGTGAGAGAAGAGCTGCCCTCTGGCCCTGGCAGGAGCACCAGCAGGGCCTGGGGGCTTGCCCAAAGCACAGGGCTGGGCTGGGGGAGCTCCCACAGCACTGCACGACTGCTGCCCCTGCGCACCGGCACAGTGGGACCCGCAGCACGCTGAGCTCTAATTATCTTCTTGTTAATTGGTTATTGACTTCTGCTGATATTTCCATTAAATATTCCCTCAACAAAAAAGTAAAAATTGTTAGTACCCTTATCCCCAAAGCTGTAACTGCAGCAGGTGAAGGAGCTGAAATCTCAGAAGTGAATCCCAAGAATACTTTTTCATTCTTAGACATGGATTCAGGATATTTTCTGGACAGAAATTGTTTTCAGAGAGCAAGAGCTGCTGTTGTATTTCAAATGTTGTGTGGGATCTGAAAAATGGGATGTGCTGTGCTTCTCAGAGAAATGGTGCTGTAGAGGGAGAGCATGGCAGTGACCTCAAGAACAGGCTCATTTGTTTCTCTTAATATCTAGGATGTAATGTCAAAGTCCAACACATTTGTCAGATGATCCAAGTCTTGCAGAGATACCTACACTGTGTTTTCAGAATGCAGAATTTTGGGGAATTTTTTTCCAAGACAGGATTGATTATAGTTTCTTTTTTGTCTGAGTTTTGCTTGTTTTCTCTTCCACAACTCTGCATATATCCACATGAAAAGCCTCGGGCTTTGTGGGGAATCAAACCAAACTGCATAGCTAGGTGATGCTTCTGGCAGTCTGTGGGAAGGTTCCTGGGGGACAGGTACTGTTCTTTGCTCCACTGAAGGCAAACACTCCAGACCTGACTCCTGATTCATCAGTGCCTGGTGAGTGTTTCCCAGTACCTGGGCAGTGCTGGGGAGCGCGGCAGGTGGCTCGGCCGACGCAGAGCGGTGCCCTGGCTGCCCAGCCCCGCTGGGGTAATGCCAACCCAGTGCCCAGCACCTGGGCAAGTGCCACCTGCTCCTCCCCGACCCTGTCCCCACCACCTGCATTTTTTACTAAGGCTTAAAATCCCCCAGCCACGGAGCTGCCCTGGCTCCATGCCGGCCGGGCTGGCTGTCAGTGCCACCGGGCTCCCTGCCCAGGCACCGGTGATGCGATAGCTGGAGCAAAACATCATGTGAGTGTGTCCTCCTGCTCCTGCATTCATGCTGGGAGGACACCCTCCTCTTCCTCGCCCTGCACAGGGTCTCCTCACACAGGCATTAAACTTTGTTGTCTGAAGTCACCAGAATTCAGTGAACAGTTAATTAAGAAACTACCTCCTTGCAGTACAAAGGAGATGAAAGCAGTCTGGGTTCTTGAGGGAGGTTTCTGACAGAGGTTTTCAGCCTGTAGTTTCTGAAGGCCCATGGAATACAAGGAAAACAAGAAAGCCCTTTCCCAAACAGAGAAGTCTCCATTTCTTTTGGAAAATTAGCTACAATCTGAAATTTCAAAAAAGTTGAAAGTTAAATGCTGCACGAGACTCCAAAGCAACACAGAAACAAGAAAGATGTAAATGTCTTGATAGCAGCTAATGACAACCAGCACAAGGCTGGTTTAACTGGGGATGTGGATATTCTTCTTGTCTTTAACTCAGGGTAAGTTACCTTCCTTAGAGATCAGCTGCAAAGTGAATAGAAATGATGGCTTTGATGGGGAAGCAACAGAGGGGGCTCCTTGTTCCCCAGGAATGTTGCACTAGATCACTGGAATGGTTACTTCTGGCTTTGGAGCATTTTAGCATATGAAGTATTTTAAGTGATGATGTACAACACGTACTGCCAGACTATGGATCCATCCAGAGAGGTGTGGAGTTGCCTAACCTGTCCCTCCCTCCCCCCTCCAGAACAGGGACCTTGGGTTTAACCTGAGTTTTGGAATCAGGTCTGTTGACTGCTCCTCTCTGATTCCAGCAACACATGGTGTAGTTTCCTGTTACTTATTTAACAGTAATTAAGTCTGATTTTTACACTGTGCTAATGTGAGATATCATCTTCCAGGCAGCTGGTAAATGTGTAATTTTGCCTGTGTTACTTAGTAGTAGCAAAAATTAACATAGGTTTTAGTATCAGGAGAAAAATGGACACAATTAAAGCTGTTCCAGAGTGCTTGTCTTTTACCAACCATTTCATAGAATTGTGAAATGCTTTGTGAGGGGCTGCAGTGAGGTTGGTTTATTTGTGCAGATGGCTTAAGTACTGAACTGTGTTGTCAGGAAGGCAGTAAGAGGGACAACTGAGGGTGATTCTGTCCAAAAGCATCCCCCAGGCTGGAGGTGTGTCAGGTGGGAGATGTCCCACCCAGCATTTTGGCTGGTCCAGCCCAGGCCCCCACACAGCTCCGGGCTCTGGTGCTGCTTGGTGCTGTCAGGTGCTGCCCCTGTCCCCCGGACAGGCAGGGGCACAGCCCCCTGCAGCTCCCACCTTCCCACCGTGTGGGGCTGCAGCTTCCCAGGGAGCCCCCGGGTGAGCAGTGACCAGCAGAGTCACACATGTGTCTGCGGATAAACACACACATGTAAAATTCACCCTCCATCAACACGGATCCCTGGTGCCACCATCAGTCTGTCTTTTCTCGTTATGAATCGCTAATGTTGGTTATGCTGAAGGATCCTGATCCTTTTTTGCAGTAGGAAATTCCATTCCTCTGTAAAAATGTTTTCCCAGGCTGCACGTGTGTTTTCCCCCCACCTGAAGAGGTGTTGGGCTTTTGTTCATCATCCAGCCCCTGCCTCAAGGGCTTTGGAGCAGTGTTATTTGGGATGTTTTCCTGCAAGCAGCTTCCATGGTCCTTTCTGGGTGTTGACATCCACAAAACTTTATTTTTCTTTATATCTGGTGTATCTTCTATGCAAGGACCATTCAGATGTCAGTTGACTAACTAGGAAAATGGGTGCAAGGACTTCAGAGTTGCCTGCAGGGAAGACGGATGGGGGGGCAGCAGCAAACTGATTATCCCAGCCTCAGGGGGAGACAAAAATCATTGTACAAATTAGATTTCTGGCAGATCTTATAACAAGGATACATTTTAACTTTCTGAGCAGAATTGCAGCGTAAGGTCAAACTGTATTGAATTAATTTGTTTCCTGATAACGACCGTATCTTACTTAAATTAAGGCTGTCTTTTGCCTTGTCATTGTTGCTGTTTGGATTTAGTTCAAAGATGAATGAGTAAAGGAAAAAAATGTAATTTACAGAATTATTTTTTTTTCCAGTTGAGGTTTTTTATTGTTATCATCCCTTTAGTGAAAGCATGGGATGCAGGGTTACAATTTTAAAGAACAATTAGTGTGTAAAGCTTCCATACTAATGAATTAGCATTTTCAGAAGTCTCCTGGCACATGAGACTTCTCAGTGCCATGGAAAGAGGGGATTCTCTTCTCCAGGAGTTTCTTTTCCCTCTGTGCATGCCACGCTCAGGCTTAGGTCGTGCCTTTGCTTTCTGAGGGGTTCACAGAGGAGCCACAGCTGGGGGCTCTTGGGACTGGTTTTCAGGGGTCACCCTGGTGCCTCCCAGCCAGGCCCCCATGGGTGGGGGTACCCAGAGCAAGGGGCTGCACTGAGGGAGGCCACCAAGCAGGACTGGCTCCTATGCAGTGCTGGTTTATTTGGTAACAAGGGGGGTCTGGCTGTGTGTTGGACATAGAATTCTTCTTTAACACTTCTTGATGTGAACGAACTGATGAATGTCCTTTCATCCAAAGAAAACCAATGCAAGAAGTTCGTTGTTTCCCATGTCTGAATTTAATGAAAAATACAGAAATGAGTAAATTCTGATGTTCTTGCTTGGTTTATACTGTTGCATCAAAACCGCATCATACGTAGGAGGTTTTTCTTCAGAGCTGCTGCTTTCCTGGTCTGGTGAAAGCACAGAGAGCTGGGTTGGAGCTGCCCTGCAGACAGACCTCATGCAGCTGATGGTGGAACTGTGGAGTTGCTCTGCTCAGGGTGTGTAACCTCACCAGGGGCTTCCCTCCCCTGGCTCCAGCAGGTGTTGGGTTTGGTTTAGCTGATGAGAACATAAGAAGCAGCGATGCCCCTGCAGCTTCTGAGCTACTTGTGTCCATTCTCTTCTTCAGGGCCGATGTTCACGGGAAAACTGCAAATACCTGCACCCGCCGCCACACTTAAAGACACAGCTGGAGATAAATGGACGCAATAACCTGATTCAGCAGAAGAACATGGCCATGCTGGCCCAGCAGATGCAGCTCGCCAATGCCATGATGCCTGGTGCCCCCTTGCAGCCCGTGGTAGGTGCCCTTCTGCCTTCCAGCCCCACCTGCTGCAACACCCCACGGACCTCGGGCGCTGGTGGAGAAGTTGCATGCAATGAAATGTTTGCCTGTGTGTCTGGGAACTGCTTAATCCTCCCTTGCCTGAAACACTGTTGTTTATTTAATTAATTTTGTTAATCTTTTATTAATTGTATGGATTTTTATTTTTTTTTGCAACTTATTTCTCAAGAAAGTGAGTGGTCTACATAGGATTTTTAGTAAGTAGAGGTTTCATTTGCAATTACATGTGTTCTAGGACATTCCTGAGTTTGAGAAGATTCCCTATGGTTGTTTTCCATTCACTCAAGAGAACCTTCTCAGGGCACTACTTGCTGGAGTTGGGCTTTGGTTTTTACAGCACATTGTCAGGCAGAGCAGAAGGCTTGCCCTGGGTGATGTATGGTGCGTGTTGGTCTGACCGGCAGGATCCACAGCTCAGGCTTGGCACGAGGAAGAAGGATACAAATAATGGTATTTTCTGCAAAAAAAAACAAGAAGTGGGAGGAGGAGAATCTATTGGAAATCTCTTGTCTGGTCACAGTAAAATCTGGCCATTTACTGCATCACGTCTGTTTCTCTTAGGCCCTGGTGAGCAGGCACAGCGGCCCATGGCGCCAGAGGCCCTGGCTGGGTCTGCACCCCTGCAGGAACCCCTGGCTCAACAGATGAGAGATGTTTGCTTGGCATCAACCTGACAGGCACCTGCACATTCTAATGCAATCCAGAGAGATCACTGGAGCTAAGCTCTGGATGAAGTTGGCCCAGAACCTTTTTGATAGAAATTTCTAGCTCAGACATTGGAGGGTTCTGATTAACGCATGAGCAAGGCTGGTATAGTCTACGTTAAAAGCCAAGCAATGCTCCTGCCCTGGCTGAAGCTCTCTCTTTCAATGGATAAAATGACAGCAAAGGAAAAAATAAGGGGTTTTTTTATATGTATAAAACAAATGTATCTGCACTAGCACTTCCTTTCTTGTTGGCAAAAGTAGAATTTAGGGTGTTTAATTTATGTCTCAATACCTTCTGTTAGGAAACTGATTCCCACTCTGCTAGATAAGTTCAACTCTTATTTCAGAAAACATAGTGACAAGTAGTACTCCACAAAATATAGCTAAATCCTTAGGAAAAATTATCTCAGCAGAAAGGACTCTCGTACCAAATAGTTGTGTTGACCCACATTTTGTGGGTCTACAGAACAGCAGGAACTGCTCTGTAGTGTGTCGGGTTCAGTTGCTGTAAGTCACTCTCTTGCAGAGCTTTTATGTCTCGGCTGGTTCCAGAAGAAGTGAGAGGAGGAGAAAAACAGAAAAGGTTGTGGTAGAATCCTTAGGGTAAATTGATTTTAGTACCTGTTAGCACAGAGTGGGAAGGTACCACATTTTTTCTCTCGTTTGATTGGCTTTTGTTTCAAGAACATGGTCTGTGTCTGGGTGAGGGGTGATGCCAGCCCTGCTGCCAGCTTGCTGGAGGAGTGGGGCTGCCCCAGGCTGGTGCCTGCTGCTGATGGCTTTCACTTTGGAAACAAAATTAAGTGTCAGTACAGAGACACAGCTCAAAAGCAGGCTGGGCTTTACGTGCTTTAACTCCAGAGCAACCTCAGCATCATTTTTCAATTTCAGCAGCTGAAGACGAGGCGTGCGCACGCTGCGGCTGTTTCTGGTCTGGGTACAGGGACACAGCCTCAGTGCCAGCAAACTCGTGTTTGGGCCTGTGATGCAGCTTACATCAGCATGCACCCAGACACTGTTGGGTTTGTTTCATGAGCTCTAACCAAACACGGCCCTCACACAGTGGTGAGTAGGCACACTCCAACATTGGGGTAAACATGAAAAAAATACTAATGCACATTTGCACATTTTTGATCAGTGTTCCTCTCCGTGTGCAGGGCCTCGTGTGCTTTCTTGGCATGGCAGGTGCTCAGTAGGTGACTGGTGAAGATGTGTTAAATGAGTCCAGCTCCTTCCCTGTGGGCAGCTGGTCCTGCAGGCTGGTGAGCTGGTGCCCTGACAGAAGCCCATCTGTCTGTCCAGCCAGGGAGGAGCTGTGGCTCTGCTGTGCTGCAGAGACCCATTTCCAAAGGTGCCCCCTGTCTCCCTGCCAGTCAGTGACCCCCACCAGCAGGCAATGCCCCTGCCAGACACAGCAGGCAGCTCAGCCCCACGGGCTGGTTCCTGGGACAGTGGGGCTTATGGGGCATCTGGCAGCAAGGAGCTATTATTTTGCCATGTTCTAAAGGCTGCAGGATATTTGTATCAGTATAGAATGATCTCAGTAGAAAATACATGAGAAAGTCTTTTATATACTGTACAGGGAGTATATTGCACTGAAATCAAACATTGATATCTCTTAAGTTACACACTAATAAACTAGTTTGTAGTTTTATTTCTAGTGTTTATTATTACACAGCTGATAACATAGTAATGAAGAGCGCAGCTTATAGTGCATTTAAGAGTAATATTTTGTATCCTGCAAAATTTGCCGGTTTTGATTTCATTTCCATGGGAGAGGGATATTATTACACAGCTGATAACATAGTAATGAAAAGTGCAGCTTATAGTGCATTTAAGAGTAGTATTTTGTATCTTGCAAAATTGGCCGGTTTTTATTTCATTTCCATGGGTGAAGAATCAGAGATGCTGAAGAAAATATTCCCATTTACACAACTTTCAGTCTTTTTTCTTCAGTAATCTCTGCATATGTGTTTTTGACCAGTGTTTCCAGTGGGCTTGTTCCTTGCTTCCAAACAGTGCAGTCATTTCCTCAGGAATACAAAACATGCTGTCTGGCTTAAACAGATATGAAACAGGGAAAAGGAGTTGTGTTGATTCTGTAGTTGTTTTTCCTTCTAAAAATCAGTTTGGAAGAAAAATCTAAATGCCTTGAGTAACTGCTTTATTTAGATACTGAATATAAACACCCCAGACTAAATGTTCTTTGGCATTTACACTGCGGTGCCTTTGCATTCTGTGGGGCAGAAGGGTTATTTAATCTTTGCTGCAGTGCAACAGCTCCACATTTGGTCTTGCAGCACTGTTTGATCTTCTACATCTAGTTATCTTCTCAACACTCGACAGCCTGCAAGAGCATCCGACTCTTTCCTTTTTTTTAAAACAAGCAAACAGACAGAACCCCCCAGTATGTGTGTGCTCTCTCTTTCTCTGCCTCAATGTTGTAGTCTAAATAAATCACATCCTCAATGCAGGGTGTTTCTTCTTAATATCTGCATGGACAGCCTGTTTAATGTTGTAAAAATAAATTATATCTGTCTGGCCTTGTTCCTCTAATTTCTGAACCAGTGCTGTCTGTCCCCAGCATCAGAAATGTGTTCACTTGTGCCTGAAGCTGAGTGTGGTTTGCTGGTGTGTTAGGGCTCTCACGCAGATGCCTTTTTCCCTGAGGGTGGGTGTTTGTGCACATTTTGGCCATGTCCCTCTGAGAGCCCCAGCCTCTCCCCACGGCCATGCCTGTTTGTTGTGGCCTTGCCCCAGTGCACATCCAACCAGAGTTTGCTCTGGGAGCTGCCACGTGCTGTGTGCCTGCAAGGGGAGCCCTGGCAGAGCTGCTGGAGGCTGGTGGGGCTGCCTGTCCTTGTGGTCTCACTCATGTGCAACATTTGCACAGGTGTTCTTCACGTCCCACAAACACAGCAAATGCTTCTTTCCACTGGGAACAGCAACCCACTGCCCCTGAGCTCCAGATGATGGCCAGAAGGCTGCTGTGCTGATGGCAGGGCGAGTGGAAATATCTAAAGTGTGTGTCCTCTTCTTTTCTCTGGTTGCAGCCGATGTTTTCCGTTGCACCGAGCTTGGCCACCAACGCATCAGCTGCCTTCAACCCCTACCTGG